CCCGGTGAGCGGGGTTGGAGTTTGAGCACTTAGATCCATATTAATTACATTGTCCCCCAAAACACCTAAGCAATTTTTACCACTTGCGAGTAGCCATCCATATCAGTCTTAACCATCAAGAGTACACTATTGAAATGAGAAGGGACTTTGTGTCAAATATACTCTATAAGTAGGGATGTCAAAAATTGACCCGAGACCTCAACATGAATCGAAATCGACTTGGAGTACGACTCTTCTCCAACCTGCAGACCATGTTTTATCTCCTTGGAACTTTATAACTCTATGATTGTACCATATATGATTCCTCTTCTACGTCACTATGCAAGAAGACTGACTTTACATTCATCTATTTCAGATATAGTTCTTCCTTTGCAGTCAAGCTAAGAATAACTCTGATAGTTGTCATCTTCACTACAGGAAAAAATATCTCAATATAATCCACTTCTTCCTTGTGCAAACCCCTTCACAAAAAGATTTGTCTCATAACGTTTCCTATCATCTGACTTTTTATTTTCAGTCTGTAGACAAAGTTATTGTGCAGTGCTTTTTTGTCATTTAGTAATTCTACCAAATTCTAAATTTGATTTAACCTCAATGACCGCATCCCGTCATTCATGGCAAACTCCCTACTCATGGGCATTGTCTTTCCACGTGCTCCATCTGGAGTCATTTTTCCGGTCGGTGGATCGCTCATCACAAGCCTCGAGTTTCCAAACACTATTTTTTAACCTGGAAATGACCATCCCACGATGTAGCTACGCCGCTTCAGGGCGCTGGGATTCTAACCGATCTGTTCACAAAGCATTGCTAGGCTTCTCTCATGGCATCGGGGCACCAATTGAGGAGCTAAAGCACCCCTATGGGCACATAAGGCATCCATATGGTGTTTTTATTGTTGTTAACTAAAACTAACATGCTTCTGATGTCTCTCCACTTTCAATGCCAAGGTTATATGTCAACTAAAAACCAATAAGGCTATAGCTGAACCACATTGTCGATGGTGGGCTTTAGGCCTCCCAAGTACCTGGCTATTGTGTGCTTCTCTGGTTCTATCAGCTCACATTTCAGCTTAGGCTACATAAATTTCGTTATGTCTTTCACTGATAGTTCCCTCTATTGTAGGTGTTAGAGCCTCAAGAAAAGATCCTGATGGTAGTGTGAGGGTAAGTAGTGTCATTGCAAATCCCTCTTTGACTTCTCCCAGGAAGTACTATTGATTCATTCCTCTATTTTTCTCTCCATTCAGAAAAACCCACTACAACGATGTGCTCTTCTTCAATTTGATAGTAATAAACTTCACTTTACTGTCATCTGACATCTTCTTGTATTCAAAAACTTGCTCGACTACCTACAACCACTCTAAGCCATCCAAATTCATTATCCCCTCGAAATCCGAATGTCCACTTTCACTCCGAGTCTCTGCTTCCTCCAATAAGTATTTCATCTTTTGGCCTCCTCTAATATTGAATCCCAAAGTGACATTGACTGCCTTCTTCTCCACTGGAATCATCCTTATGGAAGAGATTTAGGTGTTCCTCTCTCTCTCCACGTCGGAGCTCGCTACAATGTTCGACAGTGACCTCTCCCTGGGTCTTTCTTATCATTTTCATCAAGTCGTTGTAGCACTTGATAGAGTTGTGTTGTATCTCATCCATGTTAAACTCTTGATCGACGTCTGAAAATTGTCTTCTTGGTGGAATGATTAGGTTTAGGTGTGAGTATTAGGGATAAATTGCATGGATGTGATGTCAGGTGGGAAGGAAAAATTTTGGGTTAAGTAGTGTGGTGGTTTAGGTATCCCTAGAAAAGGATTACGATTAAGTTAACTCTGATACCAAATTATATTGGAATTAGCCAAAAGCCCACGAAAAATACAAATGTTTTACTGAAATCAAACATAGATTCAACCAACACACATAAAAGGACAACGCAAACTCAAACTACGACTTAGATCAAGAGCAGCAGTGCTGTGGTTTAAGGGGGAGTAATGGATATGGTGGGCTGGATGGTGAAGGACAACAAGCGGGTGGTTGGTTAGATGGAGGAATGGAGGAGGTTGGCAACTGGGTTACAATAGAGAACAAAGTAAAGGGCATTCGATAGTGCTATAGAGGAAAGGACGAAGGAGGTAGGGTTGGCTAGCGGAGAGGGAGTGTTACGACCCAACCTGGGGCTTGGAATTAACCAAGACAAGAACAGACAGTCAGACAGTGTGAATTAAAATTTTGATGTCAAATTTCTATAACTAGTAATTAATAAAATGAAAGAGCTACTGATTAACTTAAATTAAAGCAGTAAAATTAAACTTATATCATTATTGGTTGTCCGCGTCTTCTGCAAATATTTTCCCTTCTTTCACTCATCTTTTAATCAACTAATTAAACCTGAAAAATTAGTTTAAAACAATGGTGAGCTAAATGAACCAGCGAATACTCATACTCATAAACCACACTTATACAAGAGAAAAGTAATCAATATGCATGCTAGTTAAATTTTTTAATAATAAATATAAATATTTGATGCTATTCAAAGTGTCTTGCTCTATCAATAACATATCAATATTATTTTATATCAAAACAATCGTCTAAAAAATATCGTCAATATCCATTTCCATATATGAGCACGAGTATCTTAGTGCTCCTCCACTAGTATCATCAAAAGGTGGCACCAACATAGTCAAGCATACATATAACATCACTATGTAAATTTTATCATTCACAATTTCATATCACTCAACATTTAATACTACAATGCATCATTTATTTTATAACATGAGACTATTATGCATTCACGTCAAAATAACTGATAAAATTTAATAATATAAAAATCAATGGCATTAATCACACATGAATAACAATCTATACAACTGGTTAAGAAGAGATACTAAAATAATATTGTAATTTCAGAGTAGAAGTACC